GAACACAACATGATCAACTATGTCATTTGTGTGTAACGTTTTGAGATACTTTTTGTGTGCTCCTTTAATATACGTGTTACGTAATATTGGCGTCAGTTAGGGGTTAGCTGAGGAGATATGAACTTTATAGCGTCCATAGCTTGCGATATTTTTATTGAATTTTCCCCTGGAATATATATATCATTATTGTAATAATAAACCCGGAATGATGTATTCCGTGAATTGACATTTTCGTGAGAATTTCACACACATTCTTACACCTGTATATAGTAATATAAGTTATTAATAAAAGTTCAGAGAGAGAGATGTATGGAATCTTAATATATTATTGTACTTATCCATTATACAATATTTTATTCATTTGTTGTAGCTATACGCGACAGTTTTATTTTTCCTTAGTCTAGTATTTCAATTTTTTTCTCGATATGTGTATGCATTTTTTAATAAGTAACCGGAAGGCAAAGGCTTCAATTTATTCATTTTCGCAACTGTTTTTTTTATTTTTTTTTATATTCATCTTTTAAATTGCTTCTTGCACAAAAGTGTTAATCCAATTAATTGATGGTCTTTCTTTGAAGATCTTAATTAGCTATATCTTGTAATTTTTTGATTGTATAATATATACTTTGTAATTTTTTAAATACTTATAAAATCTAAGACTATATATATTCAAATTTTTTTAATAATAACAATTTAATAATAGTCTTCAATTTTTATGATAAAAAACAGGTAAAAGGCATAATATCAAAAAAATACAGATAAAACTTCTTTATTTATATACGTAATATTTGAAATTGTCAATTGCGCAGATATTTTTACACTTGACATTCCTTGATACTTATACTTTTAATATTTTTTATCCTTGCTTAGTCATTATCACCATTCTTATTTTGTTTGTTTAAGTATATTATATATTGAATACGACATCTTAAGAAGCTAAAGAATATATCAATATTTACATAACATTATTTAATTCAATTGTTTCTTAATAAACTGGCGACACAAGACTTGTTTTTCGGCTGAATTCTTAGCTAAATTAGATTCTTGCTATTGTATTGGCTACAATACTGACAGGATCAGCATCGCAAACAATACGATGGCAAGAATTTAATCTATCTAGCAATTCAACAAGCAACAAGTATCATATGCCGCGCAACTTTACAACTTTTTTGTAAAAAATTTATCTCTAACCTTCACGAATGAATCTAGATTCACCGTAATATGGGCACTAGAAAATTCGATTGGTATCAGAGAACGATTCATAATCATTATAAGGTTTTCTCTTACTTTTTGACGTGCTGTTATCCAATCCATTCCGAAAATTTCATCGGAAAATTGAATGCTCTACAATAGAAGTGGTCAGACAAATATAGTTACATATGTAATATTTCTTATTGCAACTATAAGTAATATTTAATGTATAATATATTAATATAAATATTAAATTTAAATTAAAAATTATGTTTCTTATTCTATTATTAATGCGATGTTGGGATTTTGTTATCAACATTTTTTTTATGGATCAAATGTATTCGGTGTATATACACAAAATCAGTACCTTTAATTTTATTTCATTTCCGTACCAACAATAAATAAGAATTTGCGAACACATACAGATTGTGTATAACATCAATGGAATATATTTTGGGCTCAATGAGGTTTTCGCCAATCGATAAAGATTGGAACATACCACTAACATACTTGCGATAAATTGAACGGCAATTATAATTCTAAACTTTTCATTCAACGTGTATGCAAATCTAGAAAAAAGAATAATATTATTACTCTTGAAATAATTATTATTGCTTATGACTAATTAAATATTATGATATTTTGAATTGAGTTAAACAATCGTTATCTAATTAATAAACAAAATTTAATATTCGCGCATAATTGTAAGTAAAATATAAAAAAACTCTGTATGTATATTCATGAGCGCGCGCTATGTTGTGTACTCTGTACCTTAAGATTAATTAAAAGAAACATTTAAGTATATAAAATTCTATATAAAAACTAACTTGTAGATATGACCGTGCTGACGTACACATTCACCCAAGTCGCCTCGACTGCGTAAGGATTTTCTCACACGGTACTCTAAGATCTCGATTTGGCAGTAAATATGTAGCAGCAATCCACAAATTATTATATCGCAAGCAACATTCACGATTGACGCAGCCGTTAAGCTCATTAATTGACGAAAGTATGTGAAATAATACACTGTATCGGACCACTCAAAGGGTATCCATTCTCTATATGCTAAATTTCCTTGCCGGAAATCCGTAAGCAAAGATGTTAAATTCATGCAGCCGCACGTTATCTCAACAAAAACCGTGTAGATTATGGAATTGATCCTGCAAAATGACTATGGCTGGACTAATTCACGATGACTGATTTGTTTTATATTTTTCTCCTTTAATTAAAAAGAAAGAAAAAATATATTTCCTACTTCTTTCATAATATAACAAAAAGATTTTGTTTATTTATTGTTTATTTTATTAATAAAATCGTATCTTATATTTGCTGTTTTTGTCAATTAAATTTAAAAAATGCAAAATAATTATATAAATAAATTATATAAATATAAAATATTATATATTAGAACTCTCTCTAATGTAAAGAGAACCATGAGACAATAAAATTAAAATATGCGAATCTTTTGATTTCTTAAATGGAAGCAACTCCTTACCGTATTATATTATTATATTTTTGTCGAATCTCAATTTCATCTGGTTCCAAAGGTCTAAATGGTTTCTCAACTAATGCGTCAGTTAATATCTCGATATTCTTGCGATTTAGCAATAAACTCAGCATCTTGCAGCAAGCAATGACCATGGCTAGCATTATATAAAAAGTATCCGTGAAATCGTCCGCATTATTAACATTCAGGATAATATCCATGAGTTGTGGCAACATGAAAGTGAGCAATAGTAAGCACACAAAAATTGTATATACATTATACACTGTCCGTTTCCATAATGAAGACCAGGAGACTGGTGGCCGACATCCTGCTATTGTCAGGATTTTCAGTGGAAATTCTTTTTTCCGTCTCCTAATTTAAATAGAACACTTATTATATGTATACTATATATATGTACTATTGCATATGTCTTATACAAGAGACATAATTATGTGATGTAATTATGAAAGATACAGAAAATATTATATTATATATTATGCTTAAGTTAAAATTTTTTAGATAAATAAACTTAGATGCTTTTATTTAAAAAAAAACAGTCTAATATTTATATGAAAATTATATTGTGTAATTTAGATTTTATTTTTATTTTTTAACTTATATATATATATACTTATATATATATATACACATATTGGGTCATTTAAAAAGTATCCGCGGTTTTTTCATTCAAAAATTGAACAAAAAACCGCGGATACTTTTTAAATGATCTAATATATATATATATATCTTTAATAAACGCAAAATATGTTTATTGTTGTGTGAGAAGACAAAATAATCCAGATATATTTAATACTGCTTATTGTGGATGATTTATACACTTATATCTAGGCGAGGTATCCAGCCTTGCCTTTGTATGAACACTAGGCTTCGTATTGTTGACTGGAAAACTCGGCTTCGTTCGCTTTCTCCTCGCTGGCTCGATTAACTCTGAGGGATACTGAAGGTTAAAAGGGTGTCTATAATTATATAACGATGTAGTCAGTCGCGACCAACCGTTGTCATAGTTATCAAATTAGATACGTGGATTGGTCGTATTATTTTTCACGTAAGATAAGGGATGCCAAACACAATTACCTGTTTCTACAATCTTACGCTTATTTTGATGAAGTACTACTGTGTATGTATATATGAGTGTGTGTAGTATAGCAGTAGACCTACTTTTACAATAATTTGTGACACGTAACATTTTATATTGTAAATGTAAGATTGGTAATTGAATTAACTTCAATCACTTGTATAATTATCTAATTTATTTAATCGATATTGAGTAAGCAAAATATTGCGCAGAATTGCATTTTATTCATTAATTTTAGAAAATAATATTCAATAATATAAATGATTTACACAAATAAAAGTATCAAGCAATTTCATGTAAACTTTACATTGATTTTAAACTTGCGGAACGCTTCGACAAATCTTACAATATCTATAGACACGCAACGCTACTTTCTGCATCCATTGTTCGCCTCTTTGTAGCCCATGTCGGAGAACTACACATGTCATCATAATAATTATACGTATACGTAACTTGTAATATATTCCGACTAGTAATAATACTTTTGTAAAATAATGTACATAGCTGTCTTTTTCGCTTTATATAAATTGTTAGGTAATACATTAAAATAGTCTAAAGGAAAAGAAACTTGTCGACAACGAATCCTTAGACCATAAATTAAGGTGTGTCACCATGAAATTTTAATGTAAGTAATCTATACTTACATACAAAAAATATGGAATTTGTTATTATCGTCAGTTCCGCCTCACATCTGGCTGTCATTGTTAATTCTGTTACTCATGTTGATCGATAATTCTGGCAGGATACAAGCAGTTAAAAGCTTATTAAATATACATATATAGGTAAAGCGAATACATGCTGTAATATCTTTAGTTAATTCTGAACTAGTCAAAATATCATATTGCGCAGAATTGCATTTTATCTATTTACTTTGGAAAATAATAGTCACATATTTTGTATATAAAGTGAGACAGAAAGAGAGAGAAAAAGTGTCGAAAAAATCTTATATTAAAAATTTTCCACATTGAAGATTAAATAAAGTAAAAATGTTTAAGTAAATAATATAAGTAAATAAATAATATAAATAATATAAATAATATAAATAAATAATATAAGTAAAAAAAAGCAGTATAAATTATAGAAGATTGTGAATAAAAATCTAATGAAAAAGAAGCATATAATAATCAATAATTCTTATTTAATTATTTGTTAACATTATATAACAGGAAATTAAAATGATTAATAACATTAATTATACAGATAACTTAATTAGAAAATATGGTTCCCTATCTTCTATACTATCTTCTATTTGAATTATGTTGTTTACATTTGTTGTAGGATACTATAAGCCGAGTATGACGTCTTAAGTAACTGTAATAAAAAGGTAAATCTTTTTTCAAATTTATTTTGTAATTGCTAATTTTGTAAAATATTAAATTATATAGCCAAATAATAAAATATATGTAATACATAATTACTATAATCTCTAAAAAGATTTATGAAGAAATTAGCAGTGAAAATTATAAAAAAAAGCCATCAGAGCTTACATCAGCTGTTCGAATGTGCAAAAACTCTTTATTTTCGTGTGCATGTAACAAATAAAATAAATGTTTCAACTCTTCATGTTCTTATCAATATAAAATATAAATCGAAATTACATAAGTAACGCAAATTCCAAGATGGTGATTCCTGACAATTTAGCTTGTTCTTCTTTATCCAAAGAAATTAACTTTTATATACAAAGGACAGTATGTAATTTTTTGTAATAGTATAACATGATTAAAAAGATAGATCAAATTTTTTTTGAATGTCATAAATTATTAGTGTATGAATTATAAAAATTGATATCTATTATATTTAAAATAAAATGTATATTATTATTAATTCATAATTAATTGTTTAGTGACGATAGATTTGTTATACTCACGCTCACGAAAGAATTAAGGTTCATCGTAAGGATGTACGCGCTAGAAAATTCAATAGGTATTAATGAGCGATTCATAATTATTAATAAACTCTGTTTTCTGTTTTGCTTCATTGTTAACCATTCCATTCCAAAAATATTAATGGTGAGTTGAACACTCTATATTAAACAATATATATATATAAATTAAAAAACATTATACACGATTCTTAAAATGGAATTGCAACTAATGTTTTCTTATATCAATTACAGAGTTTTTGTTGTTAAAATGATTTTTCATAAACTGAAAATTTTATTCCTAAAATCGATGGATGGAGTATTTATAATAAGGCTAACAATTTTATATCTAGGAAGTTTTTAATATCATATAAGTATTGAATAAATTATATAATACTGCCCGTTCAAGCTTTCTGAAATATGCACCTTTAGTTTTACTTCGTTTCCATACCAACAATAGATGAGAATTTGTGTGAACATGGAGCATGTGTATAATATCAATGGAAAGCATTGAGCAGTCAATGTCATCTTTGCTAATTGATACAAATTGGAACATACCACCAGCGTGCTCACAATAAACTGAATAGCGATAATTATCTTAAATTTTTCATTCACCATTAATGCAAATCTGCAAAATACAAACATTTAAAATATACTTATTTATTTAAAATATAAATTTTTGTATTCAAAATATTTTTAAAAGATATTATACAAAGTAAAAAATTTTAAACATAATGAATCGAATACTATAAAAAATATAATACGGAAAATATTTTAGACAACAGTTGTATAATATAACTTGAAAAGGTACAAATAATGATAAAATTAATTTTTGAAAAAAAAAATTTTTTCATAGACTATCTCTATCTTTTTAAATGGAATTATATGATTTATATATATATATATATATGTATAATTTCTCTAATTATTCTGCATATAAAAATATAAACACTGTGTTGCCCGGATAGTGCTCGATAAGAATTAAAATTACGCCAATGTGGCGTCATTGACCATTTGATTTTCCAAATATTTTTTCACCATTTTACAATCTGCAAGATTGTCAAAGAAACTAACTTAAATATACAATCGTGCTGACGTACACATTCGCGCAGATTGTTTTGGTCGAGGAAACTCTTTTTCAATCGGCACTCCAGTATTTCGAGCTGACAGCATATGTGTAATAATAAACCACAAATCAGACTGTCGCACGCAACGTTCACCATAGAGCCAATAGTCGAGCTTATTAATTGACGAGCATATATGATATAGAATATCACCTCGGATGTGTAGTTATATGGTGTCCACTCTCTGTACGTTAAATTACCTTTCCGAAAATCGGTGAATAATGATGTCAACATTACGCATGCACATGTCGTCTCGACCAAAATTGTGTACCATAATGTATTCGTTCTACAAAATAGATGAGCAGTTTGTTTTTTTATATTTTTCATTAAACATTTTAAATTAAACATTTTTCTTTGCACTATTATTTTATATAAATTAATTATTTTTACCAAATTTTTGAAATATTTTTATACATTATTAAAGAGAGCGAGAATTTTTTATATACTTACTGTATTGTTTTGTCGAATTTTTGGCGAATTTCTATTTCGTCAGCCTCTAATGGGATAAACGGTTTCTGAGTAAGAATATTAGTTAATATTCCTATATTGTTGCGATTTATCAAAAGACCGACCATTTTACAACAGGAAATAATCATTCCGAGCATGATGTAGAAAGTATCCGTAAAATCATCGGCATTGTCGACGTTCAAAACGATATCCATAAGTTGTGACAGCATGAAGGTGAAAAGCAACAATATTACTGAAGTGGTATATGCGTTATACATAGTACGTTTACACAATGAGGTCCATGAATTTGGTGGCCAACATCCCACAACCATAAGAATTTTTAATGTAAATTTAAGAACCTGCATTTTTCGTGATTTTAATGTCACTCTCAATGTTAATAACGTTATATTAAATTATTCTTGTTGCTGTAATTTATGTAAATTATATGTGTGATTAAGTATATTAATATCGATAACGTTTCCTCTTCTTAATTAATATTATTAAGTTCTAATAAATTATTCTCACGTAGATATTTGTTTAATATATAAGTAAAATAATACAATAATATAAATAAGATTCATGTCATATGTGAATGTACTTAATTTTGTAGAACATGAGGAATTTGAGGTACAAATAATAAAGATACAAAGTTTCTTCACAAATATAAAATAAAAAGGTCTTTTTCTTTCAATAGTACCATGAACCAGCTTTGTGAAATTCTATGCGACGAATCTCGGAATGTCTATAGCCTCATGATATGACTTTCTGGAAGCAATACTGCTCTTCCCCTCCGTGCTTGGCAGCTATATAATTATCGTAATACTAAACTCGCAATATCATTCCCCATTTTCCTGCTACGGTTTGCATGCATATACATTTTTATCAAATACAAACCTTATATGACTATGTGATATAATGATATAGCGAGGAGAAAGAAAAGCAGTAAAAGAAAGCAGTAAGTCGTAGAAACTATTAATAAACTATGAATTGTTTTATCTTTATAAAATCGTAATATAAATAATCCACCAATTTACTTACTTATAATAAATATTTATCAATGTTACTGACTACGCTCTGCATTTGTCATTCGTCTCAAATTCTAATTTCTAATTCTATTTCGATTTGAACAGTCATAATCTCTAACAAAATATAAATAGGAAAAACTTTTTATAAATGCACATGCATCTATATTTATTTTAGACCTGTTGTTTATACATGAACAGGATTAATAGATATTTCTTATTATACATATATTGAAACGTCTATTTTTTTAATTAAAAAAAATATTCTCAATTTTCTCGTCAATATGTCGTATAAAGTTATTAAAAATAATTATAATAGAACGCATATAAGCAATTGTCATTTATTTATCCACAAATAAAATACTAGTTGTGATGCAAATTTCTACAGATATTTATTAACAATAAGATGAAAAATATTGGAAAATATTTCAGTAATCTCAATTTTTTCGTGTCTTTTACTTTTACTTTACTTATACTTGTTTTAATATATTATAAGCAGAATATGATGTTTTAAGTAACTGCAACAAATGTATATAAATCTTATAATTCATTTTACAATTCTTATCAATCTAACATACATAAACAATATATTATCTTCGTAAACTTAGTGCTGCTAATCAAAATTATTTTTACATATAAACTAACTTCTATATAAATTATTCATTTTCTTATTTTCCATAGTTAAATAAAATATATTTTAACCAAAAATAAAATCTATTATTAATTGCCAATAATATAAAATTAAAAATTTTTTACTAACCCCAACAAAAGAATCGAGATTCATAGATAGTACGTAAGCGCTGGTAAATTCTATTGGTATTGCTGCACGACTCATAATTATTAATAAATTTCTTTTCAGGTTTCTATTCATCGTCATCCAATCCATCGCGAAAACGTTGTCGAGCAGTTGAATGCTCTATATTTCAAACATAGAAATTATCATTAATTTTTTAAAATTAACAAATTTGATTATTTTGAATCGTAAAATATATTAATCCATTATATAGAATTAACAAATTTCATTACAAAGTTTGTGTATTATTACATAAATTTAATTATTAACTTTAATATTAAATTGTGTATACTTTGGGTTTTTTAAACCAAAAAATGCGTAACTCAATTACGCGCACCTTTAATTTTACTTCGTTTCCGTACCAACAATAGATGAAAATTTGTGTCAACATACAGGACATGTATAATATTAAAGGAAGATAGCTCGCATTTAAACTCGTTGATTTAGTCATTTGGTATAAATTGGAACATACCACCAATGTACTCACTACAAATTGCATAGCAATAGTCATTCTAAATTTATTGTTTAATTTGAGTGCATACCTGTAAAATATATATTACATAAATGATACTTTTCAAAATTTTTCAAGAGAAATAAAGTAGAAAATAAACATTTTAACAATATGCAAAAAAATGTTATCAAAATGCTTCGAATCAGAACAAAATATACAAATATATAACAAAAAAATTTTTTTATTAATGTGAGATCTTTACTTTTATTTTTTTAGTAATATGTGTACATTTGCAGAATATAAGATAAAATAACTAACTGCAATATACTGTCGTGGTGACGTACACAGTCGCGAAGAGTACCGTCATCATTCGATACTTTGCTCAGTCGGCATTCTAAGATCTCTATTTGGCAACAAATGTGCATCAACAATCCGCAAATGAGACTATCACAGGCGACATTAACGAGCGATCCAGCCGTCAGACTAATAAGTTGATGAGCATATGTAAGACAAAATATGATGTTAGACGAATAATAGTCATATGGTAGCCATGCTCTATATGTTAAATTTCCTTTTCTGAACATCGTGAATAAAGACGTCATGGTTATACATGCGCAAGTTGTTTCCACCAAAATCGTATAGTAGAGTGTGTTGATACTGCAAACTGTGGAGATAGTTACGCTTATTTATGTAACACAACTTCTAATATTTAATTATTAATTATCAAAATATAAAAATATTTGTACAATTAGATGTTATTATTTAGTACTACGCGTTTATATATAATTTTCATATAAAAAAAACAAAATAAAAATTTACAATAAGTTTTTCTAACTTAATTATTAACTTATTTTTGAAATCTTTAGTATTACGGTAAAACTTACTATATAAGTCTATCGAATTTATATCGAATTCTCATTTCGTCTATCTCCAATGGTCTGTATGGTTTTTCGATGAATACATTGATTAACATATTAATATTCTTTCGATTCACTAATAAACTGAGCATTTTAGAGCACGAAACAACCGATGCCATCGTGGCGTATAAATTTTCGGTAAAATCTTCGGCATTGTCAACATTCCAGATAATGTCCAAAAATTGCGATATCAAAAAAGTATATAATAATATAATCATAAAAACTGTGTATGCATCGTATATTATACGTAAATAAAGTGATGAGCATGATTGTGGTCGCCAACATCCAACAATCGTCAGAATCTTAAAGGTTAATTGCAAGACATGCATCTTTTATTTCACGTTATGTCGTTTTCTTATATCTAAATTTCACTTAAATTTTTGCACAGTAATTGCAAATATCATATAGAAAAAATTATTTGCGAGATGTTAAAAAATATTTTGCATAAACTTTTATTTATTTCAATATTTCTAAAACTATGGCATCTTTAAAATATATTAAGAAACAATGAATAAGACATTTTCTGAACGACTGACAATCGTGAAACGTTTGTGCTCCGTTCTTTTCTTGAAAGATTCCATAGTCCCTACTATTATGTTATTATCATAATATATCGGACTTGAATCATTGATCCAATAAATACATATTTATTGTTCCGTTAAGTACGATAATAACAGTCTCTAAAAATATAACGTTTATATTCTAACTCTTTTTATATAACGTTTTTATATTTCGTTACAAATATCATGTAAGAAATGGAAAAATATGAATGTCTCCACTATTTTATCATAAATTTTTAATGTAAGTAACTCAGCTATATCTACATTTCCAGCTATATCTACATTTCTTAAGTTTAAAAATATTTCATTTGTCATGACCACTAAGCGTGTTGCTAAGTCGTTGCTATACATGATTCTATTTCCATATTGATTTCAGGCACAATGATTTCTGACTTTCGTTAGAGGCAGATGTTCAAATTATATTACATTTGTGAAATGTATCATAAAAGATAGAATATAGGCAAGAAAGTACGAAATATAAAATAGATATAAAATAGACCTTAATAAATATAAAATAATAAGGAAAATGTGCAACAAGATAAATAACACATTTAGATAATTTTTTTTTATTATTTTTATATCAGATAATTTGAATATAATAAATGCTAATTATGAATACTAACAGTATAAATATATACTTTTTCCTTTTTTCTCACTCTTTTAAGATTTAATTTCATGAGTATATTTTTGCCATCAATCTTTTACAGAATTACCGTATTTTTTCAAGTAAGTTGTAAGTGGAATACGACGTCTTGAGTATCTAAAATTGATGTATAAACACTCCTAATCTTGATTTAAATATATTCTGTAATTAAATTTACAACTAATTTCGCTAATAATATTAGATGCATTAGACTGTAATATTATTATATTACACAAGATGCTGAATCTGTTTTTGTTATTCCAAACAATCATTCCAAATTTGTATTTCTTGTGAATAATTCAGTTTACTATTTAAATAAAATTAAATAGTTAAAATTTACTTAAATTCAAATTTTTAGTTTATTTTAGTAATATAATAAAGCAAAATATATGAGCAGCATTTTTCTAAAATGTATTTTGTCCAAAATTTCATTTTTGAAGTTAAAGATGGCATAGTATTTAATGTTAAGAGATTAATATTTTAAGCTACTTCATACGATGTTCTGAAAGCATTTTTACGCCATCAATTTATGTGCTGAAAAAAATCTTGACATTTGAAGTACATTATGTTCTTTAACTAGAGATAAACAAAATGTATTTGTTTAACATTTTTAGTAACTGTTTAGCAATTTTGAACATTTTACATCTTACTGAATGGCAAATTGTTATTTTCTGTAAAGCACGCAATTTTCTTGTAATTTTCTTTCTCGTCTTTCAAAATTATAAATTTTGGACAAAACGCATTTTAAAATTCTCCTGCTCCTCATATAATATAAATATCTTAAATTAAAAACATATTTAAATATACTTGAAAATACAATAAAATTTGGCGAAATTAGTTTCACTAATATCTATACTAACACCCATAAAGGAATCAAGATTCATAGGAATAATATAAGCACAAGTAATTTGAATAGGCACAATTGTCCGCCTCATTATTATTATTAGAGATTTCTTTTTACTTTTATCCAGTGTTAGCCACTCCATTTCGAAAATGTTATCGATCATTTGATGACTCTACTGAAATATGTAAAATGTATCTATGGATGTAATTTTTGTTTAAGAAATAAACGATAATTATGTTACTGATATATACCTCTTAAATATTGAAATATTTTAACAATATTATACCATTAGTATTCTGTTAAATATAGAGTGAATAAATTTGACATATTATTTTAAAGCATTTATACTTACCACATCTACTAAATATCTATTACCATACCTTTATTTTTACTTCATTTCCGTACCAACAATAGAAGAAGATTTGTGTTAACATGCTAGATATATATAATGTCATTTCAATGTATTTGGCTTTTGTAGTTGTTTTACTTATTTGATAAAGGCTAAAGCATATTATCAACGTACTTGTTATAAATTGAATAATAATTATCAGTCTAAATTTCGTATTTACAATATACGCAAGTCTAAAATTAAATTTTAATTATATAACGACATATTAATATATATATATATTTTAAAGCAATAAATCTGATAAAAACAATATTATGATAAGAAGTAATTTAAAAGCTATTACATAAGAATTTCTAAAATTTATAAAATTATGAGACAACCTGATGATATGATAATGTTGATGTACACAACTGCGGAGAACATTAGAATAAGATATAATTTTCTTCAAGCGACAAGTCAAGATTTCAATTTGACAGCAAATATGAACCAGTAATCCACAAATGAGAGTGTCACAACCAACATTTATGAATGCTGCGGTAGCCAAACTTATCAGTTGATGTATATACATCAAATAAAACAGTATTGTTGATGAATAATCAAATGGTAACCATGCCCTATACGTTAATTTTCTATTTTTAAAATTCATAGATAAAGAAGATAAGATGATACATGACATCGTTACAGCTCCCAGGTAAACAAAGCGCCGAGTATTAATTCTAAAATAATTATAAAGTGTTTCTCAAATAGTATATATAATAATTTTTCAAAATTTTTAAATATATATATGTTTATTTCTTTTAACTTAAAAATATTTACTTTTAATAATTTTTAGATATTTGTTCCATTTTCCAGTTACAATAAGAAATTAAATGTTAAATGTATTAAAATTATTTAAAAAATAAAAATATGATTTTAAATTGTAATATAAAAAGTAACATAAAATATATTTCAATAGCTTTTAATAATATCAAGTGAGAAATAATACAATATTATTATTAAAATATTGTTTATTAAAACTTACTCTATGTCTTTATCAAATTTATATAAAATCTCCATTTCAGTTGATTTCGACGGTCTATATGGTCTCTCCATCAGCGTGTCGATTAACATAATAATGTTTTTGCGATTCGTTAGCAAAATTAATAATTTACAGCAAGAAATAAACATGGCAAGTAATACAAAAAAATTATCCGAAAAATTATCGGTATTATCAACGGTTAATATTAAGTCCATCAATTGCGAAAGCATAAAGGTATGTAGTAATAAAATTATTATACTTGTATATACGTAATATGCTATACGTTTATGTAACGACAACCAAGAATCAGGTCGCCAACAACCAAATATCGTTAAAAGTTTAAAAGTAAATTTAAGCATACGCATTTTTAAAGAGCTTATTTTTTTGTATTCTCTACAAAGCACACAGTAATTAATTACATTAAATTAATTACTGTAAATTGTGTGTAAATGTTATTATTTGTGTTTGATATTATTATTATTAATAATATTAAATACTTTTCTAAAATATTATGCAGTTTTGTCAAAATCGCTTCTATTATTATAGAAGTTTTCTTATTTTTAATTTTCCAAAAATGTTACTTGTGTATTAATACCTAGAAAAGCTCTTTGATTAACAATCATAACTAGATTGCACATTAGCCATAACAGACACAAATTAAATTATTAATATAAAGAAAAAATGCTTTTAGCAATTATAACCATTGAATATAGCACATAGTATAACACATGACAAAATCTTTAGGATAACTGACAATGGTCTATAGCTTTGCGGATCGAATTTCTTAAACGTAGATATCCATACGTTCCACCCTTCGTACTTGATAACTTCATTATTTATTTTGTAACGTATCCCTCGCGAAATGTATTCCTCGTGAAATAATTTTTTCATAACTCAACTGACAACTTGTATATGTACAACAAAATTTACGTATATGAACAAATCTAATTATATCTTTAAATGCAACAATACTTTTCAGAAAAAATATGAGATAGAATAGTCAAATATTAAACAAATAATTATAACCTATCTTCATGAAATATTGGTGCAGGCATTTTCTATGATATCTTCACCCTTCTACGATATTCAAGTAATTCCAGTTTCTATGAAATCTAAGGTATTTCTTTTTATACCTACTATGATACTTTTAAGAATAATTGTAGCACTATAATTTCTCTTCTTTTATACAGTGTTCTTTCATTCACAAAATCATAATGTCAAAATTGTCAAATTATTTTTCCTATAAACACAATTTTACGGGTAAGAAAGTGTTACTAATGAGTAATAATATAATAGTAATATTATTATGAAAAATACAGTAGTATAGAAAGTATTTTTTTTTATGCGTATTTGTATAAAAGATAGTTTATTTAATTTAATAAATTTTTCAATTAACTAATAATTTAATTAAAAAATAATTAAAAGTTATGTTAGATTCGCAGCAAAGTATGTCATAGAGAACAGAATTAAAAAAGTGTAATGTATACATTATATTAAATAATAAGAAGAATATGGGATAGAATAAATTATATATTTAGGTAATCTATTTTTTATAACAATATATGTAATGGAGAAACGTTAAATACTAATTATGTTACTAATTGCGTATATCATTTTTCTTTACTTCCTGCTGCTTCCATAATTTTATCTTGTTTGATATGAGTACATTAATTCTATTAGCTTCTTATACAGTTATTGCCGTATTTGTTGAAGTAAGTTGTATGTGGAATACGACGTCTTAAGTAACTAGAATTAGTATATAGACACGTATAATTTTGAGTTAAATATATTTTTAATAAGTTTATAGCTAATTTCCTCGATATTAAATATGCTAAATTTTAATTATTAATTAAAATTTAGCATATGCGAAGCTAACGGTGGGTCTGATGGACCTATTCAATTGTATTCTTTATATTATATAAATCCGGAAATTTAAATTATTGTTATTAAAATAAGTTTAGTATTCAAACATGCTTTTTTATGTTAAGTTGTTTTGATTTCTTAAAATGAAGTGAAATAATATTTTTTGGTTAATATAAATTAAATTGATCTCTCACAGATCCAGCATCAGTAACTGTGTTACAGATTTTTACAGCTCTTCGAAGTATTAAATACATATGTATTAAATACTTCTGAATTTATTTATATTGAATATACAGAATGCCTGATAATGACCAGATCACCTTTCGTGAGCAATTAGGATGGATAAAATTTAATCAAAAGTCTTGTATTATTTTATAATTTTCACAATATCATTTGTAGTAATTGTAGGCTATGTCCCGATATACACTGTCTAATATTGAAAATCTATAATATACGTTACGTGCACTATAGATTTTCAATACAATATACGTATATTGGAACACAGTCGTAGTAAATAACATGTGCGTTAGCAACCTCATCACGCAATCCTCATCACGTACTTGTATTTGCCGGATAGGTCATGTTGTTCAACAGTTTTAGAAATTAATATATCGTTAACTATTACGAAAATTACGTATGGGAACTTTTTCATTTAATTTTGTCCGCTCTATCTACTTATGAGAAATGATTCGGGTATTACTGAATATCCTATATATTATTTGCTTTTAAATAATAATTTATTTAATATGCGATGGAATATGAAATTTAATCGTGTGATGGAATGATTTTAATATATTAATTAGTTAAATTTAAATTTAAAAAATTTGTTAATTGATTATTGTAAAAAATCAATTATAAACCCTCACTTAAATGCAAAATAAAGAAAATAAAATTTATTATCAAAACTAGTTTTAATAATATATCCATACTAACACTCATAAAGGAATTAAGATCCATAGGAACAATATAAGCACAGGTAATCTGAATAGGTATGATTGCTCGACTCATTATTATCATTAAAGATTTTTTCCTATTTTCATCCAATGCTAGCCATTCAATTTCAAAAATATTATCGATCATTTGATGACTCTACTGAAATATGTAAAATGTATTTCCATAGCATCTGTGCATTTAATAAAAGATATTTATTAACGTTTCTTAGACATTAAGATACTCTAACAATATATACTATTAACATTTAGCGAATAGATTTGGCGAATTATCTCTTAAGAAAAAGTATTTCAATATACTGATTAACTCTGTTCAGTAACTGATAAAATATTCAATTACTGAACAGTTAATTAATATATTGAAACACTTTTCTCTAAGAGATTTGAGAACATTCATATCAATTATATATGCATCTACTAACAAAAAGTGTCTACTTTTTAAAAAGTATCATACCTTTATTTTTAATTCGTTACCATACCAGCAATAGAAGAATATTTCTGTTAACATGCAAGATATATATAATATCATCTCAATATATTTGGCTTTTGTTGTTGCTGTACTCAATTGATAAAGACTGAAGCAAACCACCAACGTACTAGTTACAAATTGAATAGCAATAGTTAACCTAAATTTCGCATTTACAATAAACGCAAGTCTAAAATTTAACGATTTTTTTCAATTAATAAAATATTGTAATAAAAACCGTATGATAAATTAATATCATAATTTTAAAAAATATTTCGCAAAATGTGGTAAGATTTACCTGAAGATATGATAATGTTGATATACACAATCGCGAAGTACATTTGAATAAGATACAATATTTTTCAAACGATAAGTCAATATTTCAATTTGACAGCAAATGTGAACCAATAATCCACAGATGAGAGTATCGCAACCAATATTTAAAAAACCTCCGGCAATTAAACATATCAATTGATGGGCATACATCAGGTAAAACAATAATGTTGACGAATAATCAAATGGTAACCATGCTCTATATGTTAATTTTTTAATTTTGAAGTTCACTGACAAAGATGTTAATACGACACATAAACATGTTACTGTTCCCAGACATATGAAACGTCGAGTGTTAATTCTGAAACAATAAAATAACTCTCAAATGTAATATTTTTTAGCTTTATGTTTTTTTCTATCATATTTAGTTGATTAATTAAAAAATAAATTATATTTTTTATGACATGGATACATTTCATGTATACGATAAAGTATATTAACCCTTTGGCTACTGCTGTGCTGAAAGATACACTATACCTGCTGTATCTACTATACATGCAGCTTAGCCACAAAATTCAATTAAAATCGCGAACGTATTTTCGAAATGAAATAAAAATAATTAAGAATATTTCTGCTTGATAGTGACAAAATATACAGAGAAGTTTAGAAAAAAGCCATTATAGTAGCATTTCATCCTAAAACTGTTTGAGAAGCCATTATATGGCGCTTTATTCCAAAGAATAGATTAGCGAGAAGCCTTTATATGTGATATAGTAATCAGAGGGTAAAACATATTAATCTGTTTAAATAATAAAAAAGCATTATAAATTATATGAAAAATCTAGAAGTAAAAGATAATTTAATACATTTCGATAATTTATTTTTTTGTTTTTTGTTAATACTTACTGTATGCTTTTATCGAATTTATATAGAATCTCAATTTCAGTCAATCTTGATGGTCTACAAGGTTTTTTCATTAGAATGCCTATTAACATAATAATGTTTTTGCGATTCATCAATAAAATGAACAATTTACAACAAGAAATAAACATGGCAATTAATATAAAGAAATTTTCGGAAAAATCATCGGCATTGTTTACAGTTAGAATTACGTCCATCAGTTGAGATAGCACAAAGGTATTTAATATTATAATTATTATACTGGTATACATGTAGTATGTTACGCGTTTATGTAACGACGACCAAGAATCCGGTCGCCAGCATCCAAATATCGTCAAAAGTTTGAAATTAAGTTTAAGAATGTGCATTTTAAAAAATATTCTTCTTTGATATCATCTGTGAAGTACACAATTAATTACTGGATATTTTTTGTAACGTAATATTATTAATTATATTAAATATATTTATAAAATAATTGACAGTTTTAATTAAAAATTTCTCGTATTTTTATTCTTGAGGTTTAATAAATATGTTCTTATTTTTTTATATTTACAAATGTTTATCCTTTATATTTATAGATAATTAAAACAATTATGATTTAATCTACACTGTTAAATCTATAGTATCAAATTTAATTTAATGTGAGTCGCCACTGCTCCTATTCAATCATATCGTTATTTTTTATTAAAATGATAATTAAATGTGACATTATATCGTGTCAATTTGATATTATATAATATCAAATTGACACTATATAGTTTCAAATATAACCATTGTTTTAATATAAAATAACGATATGATTGAGTAGGAGCAGTAGCGACTCACATTAAGTTAAATTTCACACTATAGATTTAACAGTGTAATAGTAAATGTGAATTATGCATTGTAAGATTTTTAAGAGATTAAAATTAGAAAAATTAAATTATAACAAAAATACTTTATAAATACTTTATATATAGATATATTTATGTGTACTTTATATTTTATAATTTATATTTTTATAAGGTAATCACGACCAATAAGTATAGCACAGAACAAAATCTTCAGAATGACTGACCAAGTCAGTCAGTCTATAACTTTGCAGATCAAATATTTTAGATATGGAAGTCTAATATTCACATTTCATTCCATAATATTATCTCACTCTTTATTATTTATTTTGCAATGTACCTCTCGCAATATAGCTCTCATGAAATAACTCTTTCATGGCTTGACATGCATTATTCAAAGTACACATACTATGTATTGACAACAATGCATGATTATATCTACAAAAGCAACAATATTTTTTAGAGAAATAGAGAAATAGAGAAAATATAAGAGAATTCTAAATTATTAAACAGATAATTATAACTTATTTATCTTTTATAGACACGTAATATTGTAGACACGTTATATTTTTACGACGTTTAGATATTTGAATTTTCTATGAGATCTAAATTTTTCTATCGCTACTAACAACAGACTAAACTAATCATTTCGTTACCATTTTTTATGCCAAGCAATGTCCTTGATGAAAACTATAATTCTACGTCCATCTTATACTCACACGCATATAAGTACACATTTATATACAGTCATTTGATACACTCATTGTTAGTAATATACTAACAGTAATATATTTACGCATACGGCATACAGGTAGACATAAATAAGGACTTTCCAGCATCAGTTTTGTCTTTTTATCATAAACAATGTAATAGAATCTAGTTATAGAATTCTGTGCTACTTATATTATTAGTATTTCTAGAATACTCGTAGGATTTTAATTATTTTTTATATGTTAAAATTGTATTATTAATTTTATAAATATATCTTTACTAGTGTTAAATATTGCTAATAATATAATATATAATAAGTGCAGTAATTAACAAATATAATAAAAAAAACTTAGTACATATATAACTAACATATATTTATTTAAATTTTTTAATTAGTTTAATAAATACAACAATTAAACGATAATTTAACAAACGATGATTTAAAAATCATCTCTCTTATTTCGTCCCCCTCTTTAACAATCTATACAATTTCTCGATGAATATATTAATTAATATATCATACTTTCCTTCGATTTACTAACAAATTTTTGTGTTTTTGAATATATTTGTGCACAAGATAGTTATTGCCAGTGTTGCATAGAAATTTTCGATGAAATCTTTGTGATTAAATTTCGAATAATCTTCAGCATTGCAATAACATTTTACAAAAATATTATTTATTACAATATTTCTAAAATTGACTATATATGATATTTTTAAAATAAATTTAAAAAAACGAATACATAATTTTTTGCACGATTTACAATTGTAAAAGATTTATAAAACATTCCAACTTTTCTTTCTATCTAAAATTCTATTTTGCATGCTATTATGTTCTTTCATTATATCGAACTTCAATAATTAACATATCTCTACAAACATATTTTTATCGTATTAATATTATAAATCTTTAAAAATTTAACTTTTATGTGTTAAGATACACATATTAAAAATGACAGTTTTTAGATATAAATACAATATAAAAAAATAGAAGATTAAGAATACCGTTAAGTATTTCAACTTAATAAATCTAAAAAAAAATCTAAAAAAATATAAGTAATTAAATTATATTGTTTCTTTTTTATCTAAAAAATTAATTTTATTGACCCTTATTCTTTTTTATTACAATATTTATTATAATATTTAGTAGTTACTGTATATAATTCATTCTTCGTATTAATTTCAGACACGGTATTTTCTGACTTCTGTTATATAATATTTTTGTTATATTACACTCATGATGTAAATTACAAAAAGCAGAATATTTAAGAAATTATAAAACAGATATTAATATAAATAAGTAAAGAGTAGAATAAATAAATAATGCATTAAGATAATCTATATTTATTGTATTTTCTATAATATGTAATGCAAACGTCAATTATAAAGACTAATATACCCTTTTTCTTTTCTCCATATTATAACTCTTCTATTTGAACTTGTAATATGAGTAGCACATTAATTTTATCGACCATTTATTCAATTATTTCTCTATTTGTTGAAGTAAATTATAAGTGGAATATGACATCTTAAGTATCTAGAATTAGTATATAAATAATTACAATCTTAAATTATTATAATATGTTTAATAATTAATAAATTTTTATTGACTTTGCCAGTAGTAATATTAGATATACGAGATCGTAACATCAAATTCACATAATGCTCAATTTATTAAATTATTCCAAAATTATTTAATAAGTAGACTACACTTTATAACACTTTAATCGTAAGTGACACAAAATTTATTTAAATTTTATTAAATATTTCAGTAATATAATGTATCTATATACAATGCTTCGCTTAAATTCAAACATTATAAATTTAATTATATTGTCAAAAAATTTGTTGGCAAAATTAATTTTAATCATATCTATACTAACACTCATAAAGGATTCGAGATTCATAGGAATAACATAAACGCAATTAATCTGAATAGGCACAAGTGCTCGCATCATCATCATCATTAGAGATTTCTTTATATTATCATCCAATATCAACCATTCCATTTCAAAAATATCATCGATAATCTGATAACTCTGCAGAAATATGCCAAATAATGTATTTATAAATAGCATTTGTACAAAAAATGAAAGATGATTATATTAATAAGCTAATATGTCTTAAATATATTTCATATATTTAATAATACATATAATAAATAATAGACTAATCGGATTTAGATAGATTAGATTTAAATAATAAATTCAGATATTATTGAAAATTATAACTATTTGTTCACGTTACAATTATTGTATCTTTTTTTATTAAACAAAAACTTGGATATATATACATTTTGCCTTTGTGTGTGTGTGTGTGTGTGTGTGTGTGTGTGTGTGTGTGTGTCATGTTATATTGCATTTATAGGCAATAAATTACCTTTATTTTTACTTCGTTGCCGTACCAACAATAGAAAAAGATTTGCGTCAATAGACAAAATATAACTAATATCAATTGAATATAATTAGCTTTTACTGTTGTTTTACTGATTTGATAAAGGTTGAAGCATATCATCATTGTACTTAATATAAATTGAATAGCAATAGTCATGCCGAATTTTTCATTTACAATTAAAGCAAATCTAAAATTTAACAAATTTGCATACACATATTTTAAAACATATTTAAATATATATTTTATACACATTTTAATAAAATATATTTACAAAATAACACCCCAACAAAGACAAAATTACATTTAATGTATCTGTTAATTGTAATTTCCTATTCAATAATATAAATGTAATATTATATAATTCATGTTATATTAAAGTTATATTGTTGAATAAGAAATTATAATTTTTAATAGGTACGTTACATGTAACTTTGTGTGTTTGCTAAGATATATTATATTATAATATGTACTAATTATTTAAATAATGTATATGTATAACAAAAATTTGCAAAATTTAATCACAAGATTTAACCTGAAGATATGGTAATGTTGATGTAAGCAAACACGAAGGAAATCTGAACAAAATATAATATTCTTCAGGCGATAAGTCAAAATCTCAATTTGACAACAAATATGGACTAATAATCCACAGATGAGAGTATCGCAACCAATATTTACGAACATTGCGATAGTAAGGCTTATCATTTGATGAGCAGATGTTAGATAAAAAAGTACTGTCGACGAGTAATAATCAAATGGCAACCACGCTTTATACATTAATTTTTTGTTTTTGAAGTTTATATATAAAGAAGATAATAAGATCCATATAATTGTTATTATTCCCAAATATATAAAGCGTAAAGTATTTATTCTAAAAAA